TGGACAAATGTGATTTAGTTTACTTGTTGGGAGTATAAGGATGGACAAATGTGATTTAGCCTAATGGCATGTGGGAGGTAAAAAATTTATCTGAAATGTTATAGTTGTGAGTTGAAACTAATTATAAAATATTTATATTGAAATTATTGATATAAAAATGTGTGGGTGGCTGTAACCAACTATGGTTGAGTTAGATTTTTTTTTAAAAAAAAAATTTGGTGTGTTACATAATAAGCCACTGTTTCATGTTGGAGGCATTAGAAGGACATAAGGGAGAAGTGATCATACATGTTGTTAAAAAAAAAAGGTACATGATTGTTTATATTGTAATCCTTATGATAGGATTATATGAATTCATGTTATTAGCCACGTGAAATGTGAACTAAGCCTTATAAATGATAAGTTCATATGCGCATGAAAATTAGATGCCACTTACATTTTAATTAATTGACATGTATTGGTATAAGTTAGAGATAACTTAGTTATTGAGTAGTTATGCTCACCCCTCTCTCTTCAATATTACAGGTGCTAGATCATTAGGATAGGATAAAGGGAAACAGTTCGAGGCTTGGGATTTTTTTTCTAAATTTGTAGGCCTCGTTTATTTTAAAAATTAATATGTATAATTTATCATGATATTGCCAACTAGAAGATTATATATTTTTGCTTAGTTGCACTATTTAATTTTAAGCTAAGTTTTATATTTTAAACCTTCAGTTGTATGCGTGTTAAATAAAATATCTAGAAATGACCAAAATGCTAGTGCAAGTGAGGAATGAGTAAATTCATGATTGATGATTATTATATGATGCTTTATGCAATTCAGACTTCCCCTTCTATTTTTGTTATTAAAGAGTTGAGTATTGAAAACGTTGTAAATGTGCTATAGTTTCACATTTAAATCATTTTTTAATCAAAAGTTAAATACTTGCTTTTAAACTTACTCCTTCCACAATCATATCCTGACTTGGGTGCCCAATTTATAATCTAAGTGCCAAAGGCTTAAATCTTACCCTAGATCATCTCAATCGAAATTAGACGTCAGATGAAGAAATGAGATGCATCAAAAATTCATCCTTATTGCCATCGAATGACAACAATGAAAGTTGTCATCCTGTGTAATGCATTGTGGCTCATAGCACCTACACAACAGCCTATGGCATAGCAAGAGAAGTGCCACAGCACGTTGGTGACATGTCGCAGCACACCTCCTATTTCCCGCACAAATGATGTTTTTGACCCTTAATGCAAATGTTTAGAGACCTTTTTTTATATCCTATGATTCCATATACATATTTTATTCTAATTTTAATTTATAAAATGATATTAAAGTATTTTAAAAGTTTGAAAACTTGGGTTCCATTCATGTGAATTTAAAAACTTAGTAATCCTCTTGGTTTAATTATGTGATTACTTTAGTTTTAGAATTAAATATAAATTAATAAGGTTAACCTTACTTGTTCAATTGAGATTTTGAAATAATGATCCCCACATTCAGCAACTTAAAGTGTGTGACTGGTGCAAATGCTAGGAAAAATTAATAATTCTAAATTAATTTCACATAAATAATTTAAATATAGAAAAATCTTTTAAAATTATAAAATTATTATGAATCTCATGTTTTTTTATTGAGGTTATTAGTTTGTTAGTAAATTGTTCGGTTAACAAATAAACAGCAAAAATTAACAACTGTCTTATAATAATTGACAATTTTAATAAAAGATTTGAAATTCTAAGTAGTCTTATAATTTTATGAAACTTATTTTTATTTTTATATTGCTTGCACAGGATTAAAAATGATTTTTCCTAAATGTTAAATAAGCACTGGAAGATTACAATCAAGTCTCAAAAAGTTAATTATTTATTCAGCTCCTTTACAAGTTAAACATTTATATTTACATATTAAACCTCAACATTTAGTATTGCACGGGAGTTGCAAGTAATTAATTTCCTCTCATGTAATTCTCCCAATAAGTAGCATGCATTCATTGCCCACAACCACAAGTGCGTAACCATATTAAAAACTGAATTTTCTGAAAATACTAACTGAGAAGTTGAGTACTACTCCAATTTTTAATACAAAATAAAGTTTAAATTTTTTGTTGTTTTTAATATAAAACAAAGTTAGATTAATTATTTTTAATTCTACCCTTTATCATTTACTCCCTCCGTTTAAAAATAAAAGGTATTTTTAACCGAATCTCACCCCTAATAAAGTAATTACTTAATTTCAAACTAACCCTATCTTTTTATGTTTATTCCTATTAAACACCTTACAATAAATACAAAGTCAATATTAATAGGGATACTTAAAAAAAAAAGACAATGATTATATTTCAAAATACTAAAAATATTTTATATTTTTGAACATCCAACTCTTAAAAAATGTCTTATATTTTTTAACGGAGGGAGTATTTATTACCATTTAAATTCTTAGACTACAATTTATCATAGTTAGTACATATTAATTATAAACAAGAATGAAATTAAAAAATTAAATATTTTCTTTACAATTTTAAAGATATAACCATCGCTTCTTAATAAAAGGCAAAGTTGATTAGTTTTTCCTTATACTAAGAACAAAAGGGAATACTATTACATGGTTGTTCTATTATTTGATATAGGTACTAAAAGCATTTTTAGCGTTGGCTCTTCTGAGAATAATGATATAATGAATTAGTGGCAATAATAGTGGGACATATATATCGGTATCGAAAACTCCAAAAACATGTGCCACGGTCTCAAGGTGCATGCACGTGATATTATTATTTTGAATGAAAATGATAAAACGTGAAAATAATGAGAATGATCGTTATCTCTAGATTGATTTTTATTATCTTATGCATGGAACATTCTCATATATAAGACCACCTAACATACTTCATCTCAAAGTTTATCTAAAAGCGGAGGGTTAAAATTAATTTCAACATTTTTTACAAATAAAAATATTTATACTTATAAAGAATATTTTAAAGTATGGGGACAATGGCCCCTACATGTTCCCCTTAAATTTTTCACTGGATATGACTCAAAATTTTAGCATATAAGTACGAGAAAATATATATATATATAATATTTTAATACTTTATTTTATAAGTAAGATGTAGTGAGTTTTAAAGAAGTATTTCTAAAGCAATATAAGCAGAGTATATATGTTCACAATCAACAAAAATATTAATTTCTTTGTTTTTAAGTAATATGTAAAAATTTTGTTAGAAAAATTATAAAAGAAATGCTGAAATTTGTGATTTATACCATGAAGTACGATATGATATTGGATATATATCAAATATGGGTATGTTTACTTTTTCAAAATACCTAAACGATAAATGATCATAATTTTTAGGGAAATGGCAAGAAATCCTTGTGAATTAAATAATAATTTAATCTTTTAAAATGTCATAATATCAAAAAAAATTTTAAAAATCTCTTTGTCAATGCTTTTTTTTTAAAAAAATTATTTTACCCTTATTGATAAATTGCGATTTCTTATTCAATTCTTGCAATTTTTTTGAGAAAAGTTGTAACTATTTAAACAAAAGTTGTGAATAGAGTTTGTTATTGAAGAACTTATTTTTTAATAATAAAAACTATATTTGACAAATTATAATTTTTTATTTAATTCTTACAATTTACAGAATAAAAGTTATTATTCTTTTAATAAAAGTTGTGGTTGGAAATTATTTTTCACTAATAGAAATTAAATTTGACAAGTTGTGATTTTTTGTTCAACTCTTATTATTTGCAGAATAAAAGTTGTGATTCCTTAAATAAAAGTTGTAATTGAATCTTGTTAAAGGTAAAATGGTATTTTTTTAAAAAGTTATTAATAAAGAGGTTTCTATAAACTTTATTGGTATTATGACATTTTGAGTAATCAAATTATCACTTATATAATTTAAAGAGATTTTATTATTATTTTTTCATAACCTCTCCAAATATAAACTCAAAGTCAAATTACAAAATCTTGAGAAGTTCAATCAGAATTTTTGTCACTTTCAGCCCAAAAAAAAAAAGAGGATATCACCTTTCGCCCTCGAATTTACAAACAGTACAAAATGTTACTCTGTAATCAACACATATATCCTTAAAACTTAGTTGAATTAACTAATAATGTTAAAATCTTGAGAAGACAATAAATATTCTGAAGGGACCAGATCTGCAACAAGTCCAGGGTGGAGAAGCGTCTTTGCATTAAACATGTGGTCCCATGACATGAAAACAACAGGCACAGATGAACGATGGCATCAAAATTTCGAACTGTTTATTGGATTATCTTCAATGTCACTCACAGGGACCAGTACCACACATTCAATTGCACCTTGACTAAAGATAGATCAGACACAACACAAAGTGGTGGGGATAGATTCAATTTTCATGCTACTTTCTTCAAAGATGAGATACACCTACACACACACACACACCAAACTAAAGTTCAGAACGACATAGTGAAATGATTGCAATCTGATAGCAAAGTAATGAAGTGAAGGAGTTGATTCTACAAAACCAAACATTATCCCATTAACTAAGGTCGACCACATAAATTACACAATTTTATTGTGCTCTATCATTTATTAAATATTTAAAAATGATGTTAATTAAAAAGTTCTGATCAACAACTTTTAAAAATATTTTCTTTAACCTTCTCTTATTTCTCTTAATAACACTCAAAATTATTCATTTTACTTTCTTTACCGATCCCTCCCATGATTTTCTTTATACGTGTTTAAACCATCTTAAACTATTTTATAACATTTTTTTCCTTAATAGATGTTACACTCACGTTTTTTTATATATATTCATTTTAAATTTTATTTTTACATGTATACTCACATATTTATCTCACCATTCTCATATTTATTACTCCAATTTTATATTTTTATTATCTTATTAAAGTCCAACATTAACTATCAGATAACATAACTTGTTTTATAACAATTTAATTTGACTTTCCTAAAACACCAAATAAAAATAAAGCAACAAAACATGCAGTGCCAGTCTTTTCAAACTCATAATGATATAAATTATGCTATTAGCGAAATCCCGAGCCAGCGTCACTACATGCTAGCACTGTGGGACAAATTTGTGAGGAATGAAAAAGAAAATAGAAAGGAGACCCAATTAATCTAGTTGTCTACATCAAACGGCGGGTCCCTACAGCTCTCATCAGAACTTTTCAAAGTTAACAATGAGCGGCTCACAACACCAGTCTTCAAAGCCAAGTGGGAGTGGGACCCTTGGCCTTCACCTATCATCACTTGCAAAAATAGAGCCATCTTATGGTTGGAAGACTTTGAGGACATGAGCAATCTTTTTTGGAGATAGCCATTTAACCAAAACCAGTTTCTTCATTCCTGTCATTACATCCATGAATGGCATGACAGGTATGGATTTTCTGGGCTTATTACAATTCCCACTTCGCTTTGGAGAAATACGTAGAGTCACCGACGGACAAACAAGTGACTTGTCAGTCCTGTGAAGAAATGCTATATATTCAAGTATTTTAGTTGAGTAGGCACAGATACTGAAAATCATGAGCTGGCCTGTATTGTCCTGCTTGTCTTATTAATTACACAGTAGATTTTGATAAGCATGCTCATAAACTAGTTAAACCTGTAAACAATGAACAACGCAAAACTGTCAGTGAAATTTTATGGAATGAGAATGCTCAAGGCACAAGTGGACCCAACAAAAGACAAAACTGATGAATGGAATGGAAATTTTATTGAGTAATAAATGCATTCAAATAGTACTGAAATGAGACACTCAAAAGAAGTTTATCTGCTAGCTATTGAAGCAATGGAACTTCACAAAGATAACCTATATCTGGCTAATAATATAAATCTGAAAGTGGAAAACTAAGGAAGAATCTAGCAGCCAGTCAATGTTGAGCCATGTTGATTGAAGGTAAAGCATCTGCCAGAAACATTTGTCTCAGTCACTATGCATTGCTTGCAGTTTAGAATTATAATGCTATCAATAAAGATACGCTTGAAGAATTTTAGGACAAGGACTTGCCGGGGGAAGATATCTGTGTCCAATTTAAAGCATCAGTAGTTGTTAGAGAAAATTTTCATGTGCTGGCTACATGAAGTCTTGCAACTATTTACTTAAATGCAACAGGCAAAATTTTTCCATATAATTGATGCGGTCAAGGAATTTAGAAGTATGTAAATGGCTTACCCATCTTGCCACTTAAATTAACATCATTATTTGCAGCTCCATTCAAGGGTTCACTGCTACTGCTGGGTGGAATCATTGTTTGACTATGTTGTACTTGAGATCCATAATTAAATACATTCATCGGCTACAAGACCAAAGATAGAAGGAAATTAAATGGAAATTTATTTGAACGGGAACAAGATGGAGGTTTTAACAGGAATACCATGAGAAATCAAAAAGGTGTTGAAGTTTTGTTCTTTTTTCAAAAAGAATTTAGGAGTTAATTTGGAAGAAACCAAAACCTGAGAGGCACTTTGCATAAATTGATACCCCATATAACGTGCGTATTGCTCTGAGAAAGCTTGATTTTGCATCTGATTTTGATAAGTAAAAGGACCCATAACAGGAGCTTGATGCATCAAACCCTGGTTCGGCGTCTGAGCCATAGATATGGAATGATCAAGTGATGTTCTTGGTAACTGCACCGGATTTGGAATAGGAGGAAAAGAGGGCGAAGCCATTCCCATGCCCATTGGGGACATATAGTGCTGAATTCCTGGAAACATCATTGGTGCCATTCCAGCTCCCATCCACATTACCTAGAAACGAGAATGAAACGATCTGTTGTTACCAAATTATCAATGTAAAGACAATTACCACTGGCACATTCTTCAGTGCAATTTGTACCTGAAGTTGTAACTGAAGTGATTTCAAGTACTCGATTGCCTCATCTAACATTGATGCTTTATCTGTCTGCAAATGAGCCATTGCTCCAATTAGCAAACCTCTATGATTGGATAACATGCAAAAGAGAATCATTTTAAACAAAACAAACAGGTTTAGATAGTTATTTTTTTTTTCACAAATTTTGACCACTTTTTATTTCTTTTATAAAGATGAGGGGTGGGGCATTATGAATCCTTTAATAATTAACTCAACAAGATCTTTCTCCTTCTAGCTTCTACGTTCCTTCTCTTCCCCCTCACCTGCCAAACATGTTTTATGCCTTCTTCACTTAATGCACCAAAATAAATCCAGCAGTCCGTTATTTCTGAATCTGAATGCATGCATCTTCAACACAATCCATTAAGAAGAGATTAACAAGTCAATAGGCATATGAAAATCAACCTTGTTGCTATGAGGTATGAGTTGTTGCAATGTCCTCATCTTCTCATTGATCCGATCTCTTCGTCTCTGCATTAGTAACAATGTAATGGTTAGAGTTAAAATCACCAAGCTCAGCTTTCCGATAAAGTACCAAGCCCTAACCCTTTCTGAGAGATTATGCACTTCAGCTGCACGGTTCCTTCGGCAAGGCCTTGTCCCCTGAGCTACCTTGTTTTCAACAGCCGATTTGGGTTCTGTGGCCTGTATTATACATAGAGAAATAGGTCAGGTGCAAAAACAAAAGACAAGCATTTAATCATGAAGATGAATGGAGAGAAGGGCTTCACCTCACTTTGTTCCTCTAATTCTTCTGCATCTATCCTTTTCCTTTTTTGGCCGTGGTTTCTTACAGACCAGGAGCATGTTTTTGCAAGACTACCTGAGTCATCTGATGATGAACTCAAAGTTGGTTCAAGCACCTCTGACTTCCCTTTTTCACACTGAGGAATTGATTTCTGGACACCATCCTTCTGGGGCTCAGTTTCAGAATACAAAGCAGTAGTCCAAACCCCACTGCTTGATGCCCTGCTTATGTCAGGATCTAGAGGAACTTGGTTGCTGCCACAGTGACTTGAACCCACTGTCACGACCGAGCACTCTTTACCTTTGTTTTTCAATAGATTACAATTACCTTTATCTTCAGACTGTGCATTAGAAGATGTTGAGGCTACTTTGGAGGGTTTTGAAAACTGAGAAAAATTGACGACATTTTGTGATCCGCCAAAACTAATTTTTTTCAGCGTTGAATCAGGAAAATGAACTCTTGGAGCAGGCATAGGATTTCCTGAGAATTCCTGAGAAAAGGGCTTTAGATTTGGTGTTTGTGAACTTGTAGTCACATGGCAGGCACTGTAGGGGCCGAATTTGACATACTTTCCCTCTTCGAGTTGCCTTATTGGCTTGTCAGACTCAAACCCAGAGGATGGCAGTTCAGATAATATGCTTGAACAGAGTTGTTGTTCCAATGGATCCTCAAGTGGATATTGAATCCATGAGACTGCATCATCTTCTTGAATCAAATGGCTTGAGTTCCCATACGATTCATTAGCCCTGATTGTTGATTGATCATCTCTCTGGAACTGTCTCGAGTCGATAGAAGTCGCAACTGGTTTTCTTTGCGTTTGGCTGTGCGTAACTACCTGTCCATTTTGCCATATCAGCTCCACAAGTTCTTGGCCCGACCTGTAGAATTTGCCAGAGGGAATTATGATTAAAGCGAAGAGTTTTGAGAGAACAACAATACTCTGCTTTGATAGATATAGATGACACACACCCCATGAACTTCTTTTGATTGGTGACACAGCCATCATTCTCAAAATTCCAACCAGGAAAATTCATGGCTATGCAAACGGGAAATCTGTGTAACAAGAGAGAAGAGAATTTAATTTCAGATTTTGTAAAGAACAAAATCAATATCAGATACCCAGTTAGATGCCAGACTTTGACTTCTCATCAGCAACTTTTATGAGCAGAATAAAATAAGCTGTATAGTCCGGCTAATTGGATAATCAAACAAGAAAAAACAATTTTTTAAGTGAAACAAGAAATAAAATAAAGAAATCCACAAGATCCTGTGGCTTTACCAGTAGAGAATAGAGCAAAACCCAATGAAATAGAACCACAAGTTATTTTTAATATTATCAATCTGAATTTGGCAATAAGTAAAGCACAGAAAGTTCTACCTTCAAGAAGCACAAAAAGGCATTTCATCGCATACATTAAAGTTGAAAAGTACAAGCACATTACACACACTTGCCCACAGAAAGCATAAAAGGAAAGAAGTACAGGAATAATTTAGAGGAAAAAAATTCCCACCAAACGCTGAACCCAACTGAGAAAGAAAAAGCAAATAGGGCAAATTCTGAGATGACCAGCTTTAAACACTCGTAGACAAATACACACGCGGAGAAAAATGGTCTGAAAAGGCACGAGTTCCAAAGTATAAAAATATCCCAAATTGCTGAAAACAATACCTAATTTGATCAACACTGAAAATTCGACTCACTTGAAGTAGAAGAAAGAAGACGAGCCACCCAACTGAACTGAGACGAATTGTGATACTGCAGAAACCTGGAAGAGAAGTTAATTAAGAAATGAGGGGCTAGCTTTCTGAGCTCTCAGTGACAGCGAACGAACGAATGAATCTTGGAGGAAATGTTTGAAAACGGAGAAGATGGGAGAGAAGCTTTTAACGGGAAGACCGATAGCGACATGCCGACATGGATGAAGAGAAAGAAGTGACGAAGAATTCAAGGCGAAGGGGATACTGTGGTTGGAAGAAGCGAGAAAAACATGGGTTCACAGCACAAGAGGTTGGAAGTCGGAGAAGACGTAAATCATAAATGAGGCCCGTGTCTCTGAAAACTACAGCTTCTCCGAGTTCTTGGTTCTTCCCATCTTAAATGCTCCAACGAAATCTAATTCTGCAAGCACATGGAGGGTGTCATCTAAATCCACATCCTGATGCCGCCACGTGGCAAGCACAAGATCCATGTTTTCTTTGGGACAATAATTCATTCATCACAAAATATAAAATATTTTTAATTAAATCTCACTCCTTAATAAAATAATTACTTACTTTCAGACTAATCTTATTTTTTTATATTTATCTCTATTAAATATTTTATAATAAATATAAAATTATTATTAATAGAAATATTTTTTTTAAAAAAGTAATAATTATACCTCAAAAGATCAAAAATGCCTTATATTTTTTAATATTTAATTTTCAAAATATGCTTTACATTTCTTAAATAAAGAGAGTATCACTTACAACTCCTAAATCTGAAAATAAATTTTGATATTCGCTGGAGGAATGACAATAAAGTCCTAAACTATAAAATTAATATTAGTTATGTCTCCTCACAATTTTTAAAAAAATTATAAATATTGATTTAAAATTTTAAATAGCTGTAAATAGGAATTGTAATTGTAGATTATGAGTTATATTTATAATTTAAATTTTATAATTAAAACTCCTAAATTTAAATCTATTTGAATTGTCTTCATTCTAATCATAATGAGAAGATCAAGGATTTCATTGTGAAAGATTTCACAATTACGTTGGACCATGTTTTCAAAAAAAAAAAACAAATAAATATGCCAATTGCTCACCAAATATCTTATGATAATCTTGACTTAACTATCTTTAATGAGCTGCTTACTGGCTATAGAATTATCTTGTATTTTTTATGTGATTGGATAATTTTCCTCCTTCCACGAGTTTCTTGTGACCATGTATTAAAAAAGTTGTCTAAATCAATATTTGTATTTGATTTTTGGAAAATTTTATTAAAGATCCAATTTTCGCAAACTTTTTTATTTTGAAACTTTAATATCATTCGCCAATATTTAATTTATTAAAATACCTTTTTATTTTTTTAAACTCATTACTTTTTCATCAAAGTCATTGTTAGTGGCCAGATCGCTGCTGTTGCCGCTGTAAGGTCTCTTTTGTCTAGCGAGAGTTTTTCTCTCACCTTGGGTGACCAATAGGGTTTCGGGGTTTTTGTTTCTAGTTTTGAGTGATATTTTCTGGTAGTGGGCATGCTTCAGTGTTTTTCTTTCTGTCTTTTTGAAGTGGATTGTGAGGTATTTCAGTAGTGTCTTATTTTGATAGATAGTGTTTGGGGGTTTGGAGGTATAAGGGACTGCGGTAAATATCTTTGCTCAACTGTCAGATGGAGTTGGGTTCGAGTGAATATTAACTAGGAGGTTGATAGCTGAAAAATTTTTCCTAAACAGATGAACAAGGTGATGATAATTGAGCTAATTCACAAAGATTGGGGGTATTCAAGAACGTCTAGATATTAGGATGCTGGTGGGTTAGATATTACTTACAGGTTTAACAAAGAGGAAGATTATCTGTGCATCCTTAAGGGACGCTTTTGAATCTTCAAGAATGGCCTCCAATAAGAGCGCTGAGGGAGTTGGATTTTAATTTCTGCTCTATTTTGGTCCAATTTTGCAACGTTCATATGGTAGTTATTAGATTGAAATAATGCTTTGTGCCGTTGCTTAGCCATTGAACTAGTTCTTCTTGAGGAGCCAATGCTAGAGGGCAGGTGCTGAGGAGCTTTGTTCGTGCTCGTCCATTGCTTCATATTCAAAAGCCTGCTGTTGTTGAGTTTTCGTCCCTAGACCAGGTTTGTCTGATTTATGGGTGGAGGTTCAATGTGGTATGTTGGGTCATGAGGCTTGCCAATGTCGTGGGGGACGATGAATGTTAGTCAAAGGACTTACTCAGCCTATGTATCGTCCTTGGGTTAATACTAATGCCATACGCACCTGGGATCAAGCGATGGTTGTCCTATTAATACAGCATTTTAGTTTAATTATTTTATTTTCAGACATAATTATTATAATTAATTGATTTTTTTTAAATTGTATTATGTATGCCTTTTTATATACATAAAAACGGATGGATTATATTATAGATTTAGTTTCCAAATCTTCGGATGAAATCTTGCTTACTTTCATGTTATTTTCATCCCATTAGTTTTCATGGTTATTTCATCCAAAAATTTACTGCTATATTTTTATTTTTATTTTCAAATCTCTCTAGTTTTATTAATAATTTAATTTTATTTTCTTGACAGGTCCTACATTATTTTTCTTAAATATTTTAATTTAATTCACACCTAGTGACGCTAAAAGGAAAAAGTTAAACATAAGACAAACAAAGGATCATGTTACAACTAAATAAACTTCTGGGATAAAAATAAAACTTGTCACAAGAAAAACTCAATGAAGATAAATAACCAAAAGAAAGAACTAGGATGTTTTAAAATAAAAGATATTCTGTTATTTTTCATGGATAATCTTACAAAAATCTAATCCTGAAGATTTTCAAAACACAACTTTAAATTAACCTACAAAGCCTTTTGACACACAAATTAATAACAATCAAAACCCGGCCGAGTCAATTTTCTTATTCGATTTTTCAACACTGCTCTAATCAATTACTTCAGTTAATATAGCACCAGATGCAACTTAATTAAATCATGCATTGAAATGTTGAATGTGTGCAATTGGACACTTAAAAAGAAGCAACATCAAATTAAGTTCTCATTATTAGCCCAAAAAAAAAGAGTTCTCACAAGACGGAGGCCTCATTTGGTATGTCAAAGAATTTTTAAGAAATTGGTTAATTTCAGAATTGAAATTAAAATAGAATCAAACTTTGAAAATATATTCGGTATATAAATATAATTCTAATATAATTTTATTTAATATGTGTATTTAAAACATATACACCACAAGACCTAAGTCCATTACATGTTCAAACCATAACCCAGCTTTGTCAATTTTAACTCTTGTTTTTTTTTTCTACCAGAAGAAAAATTAATTGATTAAAATTGAGTCATTAGACATATTAAGAACATCTAATTCAAGAAGCTTGGCTAAATGGGGATCAGAGGAGGACCAAAATCCCAAACAAAAGAGCTCACCCCTTTATAACAAAATTTAGCTACCCAATCACTAACAAAAATTGAAAACCAAAACTTCATGATTCCAATTTTGTTTCGGTTTTTTTTGGTCAATTCAAAGTGATCAAACATAGCCATTTAGTAAACTTACAAGTCAAAATTTTTTTAGGTCATCAACTCAACTAAAAATACAAAAGTAAAATAAAAATAGTGGATGTAATAATAAATCAAGATGGTTATCAATATTAAGAAGCCAGTAGTTGTACAAACAAACATATATATATATATATATATATATCCTAATTACCAGCATTGAATAACATTGTTTCAACGTGTGACTGATAAAAGGAAGAATATAGAGGAAAATATATGATGAAAATGGAGGCAAGAGATCACTTAAAAACTATCCACTATTCATATTTTAGACAACATTTTTACAATTGTTCTCCAAAAAACTGTTGCCTGAAGATAAAAATGTTGTATGAGAACAGAAGAAAATGGAGAAATTAAATCAGTTTCTCTTCCTTGTCAATATAATAAATAGGATAAAAAAGTTTAATGCATTATGAAGAAGAAACAGGTAAAAATGCCAAAATGCATGCAACAAACGCAACCGTTGATGTCATGGTTTTTCTAGTGACAACAAGTATGAGTGAATTGGATTTCTAGGGTTCATTAGGTTCTAAATCCATCCTTGGGATTGGAGCAAGCTTTTAAATTTAAATTATACTTACAGAAATATCTATACATCCCCACTAAATGTTTTCATATCAATAACGTAATTTGAGTCCGGATAATATTATTGTAATTATTGTCAGATAAGTTAAATAATTGCAATATCTTTTGCCCTTGTACATTTGGTCACTCTGCTCATGATTTGGATGTTGAATGAGGCAAGGCTAATGATTAAGCCTCTAGTAATAGCAAAAGTTTAATATATTTTTATATGTATTTGGATAAAATGCCTATTATGACTGACCTTTTTGGTCTTCTTTTTGTCTTAAGTCAAACACTCGTATTAAAAAAATCACTCATGTGATATTGATACTATAGTGAGTAAAATTACTGCAGTCACTATCAAACAGATAAAAATAAATGCAATACTCTTGCTCTTAGCTTATACTCTCTCTATTTAAAATATAAAATATTTTTAATTAAATTTTATTTTTAATAAAGTAGTTATTTAATTTTTAACTAATTCTATCTTTTCATATTTACTCTCATTAAACACTTTACAATAAATATAACATTATTATCAATAGGGATACTTTTTTTTTTTAAAAAAAAAAGCAATGATCAATGTTGTTAAACTTGCTAGTTTAAGTAAATTCATGATAAAAATATAAACTTGTATTGTAAACTTAGATCGTAAATCTATAAGAGTTTACCTTTATTAACAAATAACCATTAAAATATAATTATAATTTAATTTAAAATATAAAATATAAATTATTGAATTAATTAAACCCATCTACATGGATAAATTATCATATACAAGACCTAAAAATTTTAAAATAGGGGAACTTATTTTGATATTTTATTTTTTATTAATATTAGTTTTTGCATTTCGAGTTTTTTTCTTTAACCAAGTCTTATAACTTTTATGAACTGAATTCTTTATAGTATAAACTTAATTCACTTAACTCAAACAAAATGACAAACTTAACAAGTTTAACCAAACTTACATCAAGTCTGAGTTTATGAATTAGTTGATATGATTTTGTAAGTTAGAAATATAAAAATGATAAACTCAAATGTGAACTCGTGGGTTTAATCAAGTTTATATCTAATCTGAGTTTATGAGTAAGTTAACACAATTTTTGTAAGCTGAAAATGTAAAAACGTTGAACTCGTAAAATCAATTCAATAGTTTAATAGCTATGACAATGATTACATTTTAAAGACTAAAAATGTTTTAATTTTTTAATATTCAACTCCTTAAAAAATATCTTA